CTGTCAGGAATATCTTCAGTTCAGATATAGGGAGCTGACCAGTGGTAAACTTCCCATTTGATTTGAAAAATGGAATCTACCTTCACTGTTAAGGGTCTGTTTTATATCATACACATATCATACTATCCAATTTTATCATTGAATAAAAATGTCAATTTTAAGGCATTCACTATGTTAAATATTTACTTTTTCCTTTGAATAGGTGAATGGCTATATTAATATGATTAATATTATTAGTTATGTTTGTATTAATGTTTACCAGGAGTGCTAATCAGTAGTGACTTGTCATTAATTCATTGACATTTTTAAAACAAGAGGAAATGTTACTCTATGTGTGAATTTTCATTGTTCAAACACCTCTGTGAAAAATTAAATTTCATAGCAGTTGGCAGATGTTTCCATTGCTGGTGTGAGTGAGTTTCACAGTTTGATCAAAATTATCTTAAATTTTTCTATTAATTTTAGCCACATTATAATTTGACTATAAGTGGAAATGATCGATCAAGATTTGCACAGCTCTGTCATGCCAGATTTTTAGGTGGTGTTAACCCTCCTTTCTCCATCACTGAGAAGTAGTGTAGCAGTTCAGGATGTGCACAGGGATTTGGAAAACTTACCTGGTCCCAGACACTCCCTGAACAATTTCAGGGCCTGGATTGATTTTGCTTACCTAGGAATGATGAGCTACGTGGATTTGAAGATACTTTGTTAATGAAACCAAGTTTTCAGGTTTCTGTAACCATTTTGCCCCTTGTTTCAGTTTCCACTTTGTAATGGCTCTTGCACCTTTTCTGGTAACTAAATACCACCCTAATGGGGTTTAATTTATATACACTTCATTTCAGTGTAGACTCAGTCCAAAATGTTCTCTTTTCAAATTTTTTTTACACGGGCCAGAACCTTTCTCAACAAGTAGAGCAATATCCAGAAACATGTTGTCCTTCTCACTTCTCCTTAAAATGTACATCCAAAATGCTCAGGTGTCTTCACTAGTTGAGATTAGAGACAAAAAGCTCCCAAATTTGAGCAAGGCCACCATATTGAAAGAATTTTTTGTTTCTTAAAGAATCCCCATCACTAGTCCAAGGATACCTTTAAACCCATCTAACTGGGGACTCCTGGTTGCATGCCTGATAAGCTGGGTTGGTTTCTTTAGGATGTTCTTTAGGAACATATGTGTGTTCTTTAGGATTATAATTTTCATGCATTTAGCACCCATGCTGTAGCCTCTGATTTTCTGGACTCTCTTTTGTCTGTTAATTGCCCATTTGTTCAGCTTTACTCAGGTTTATTTTCATAATTTTTATTTCTTGTCTTTTTTCCTCCTCTGATACTGTTTTGGAGAGAGGAGCAGTTGCAAGTGGTTGCACTTCTATTCTCATTCAGATGACAGAAGAGCAATGGGGGTTGCTAAATGCCCCAGTTACATTGATAGCTTCACGTTTGAAAATAAAGCCATGCAATTTTGGGAATCTGATCAATAAGCTGCGAATTCTGAGCTTGCTGGAGTTTCCCCATATCTGTCTATCTGTTTCTGTAGTCTCTCTAGCCCATAATCAGAGAACAAGTTCTAAACAAACATAAGCATAATTCATCTCACTACTCTGTTAGAAGTCATACAAACACTCTCACATCACCTTGAAAAATAGTTGGTGTGTCGTTCTTTACTATTTTTATTTATATTTTTTAATATTTATATATTGCATTTATACATGCAAATACCAGATGGATTATGTTTTTAAAAGTTTTGTCTCTTTCCCTATCCTACTTGCATGATTATTTTTGAACGAAGTAGGTATTTTCAGTTAGGTGATCTTATGGCCTAAGGTGGGTGAAAATTGTTTCCTCTAATAAAGGAACATTTGAATTGCCATGACTTTCTCTGGTTTATCTGTCCTTCTATTCACCTTATTTTGCAGGAGTGAATTATTGTTTCTCTCCACAAGTGTTTGTGAAAATTATGAAATGTTTTCAAACTATGTGTGGCAATGCAAGATCTTAATATCTCTTGTGTGGCTTAAAAACATCTGTGACGTAGAAGTGTGGTGAACAATGGGGTGGTTGTGGTAACTGTTTGTCAGTAGTTGAAGGTGCAACTAAAAACTCCAAGCAAGTGCTTCACGCAGAGCACCAGGCTCTTTCCTGACAGAGGGTGTGCAGCCTCTCAGGAGAGCCACATTAGTGCAGAATTGCTGTGGGATAATAATGTGGGATGGGCAACATGGAGTTTTATTTTGTTTGCTTTGTAAACAGGATTTGGGCTCTCACGTGCCTTCATGGTTTGTCCAGAGTTGTGCCCACAATTAATTTGGGTGAAATGTTTGATTTGGGGCAGAACCAAGAGGTTTGAGTGTACCCAGATCTGCTCATGGCTAAGAAGTTTTCTTACGAAGCGGGACTAGTAGGCTGTACAGCCAGTTAGAGAGATGCAGACAAGTCTGGAGTGACTGAAACCTTTTAGTGTTTGGCCTTTGAGGGCAAAGCTGAACTGTAGCAGGGAAATACCTGCATTGCCAAGCCTTTCTCGTGACTGACTGAGAGGTCAAAGTGAGGAGATAGGAATGGAGACTGCTCTAGTTGCTTGCTCAGTGATTTTTCTTCTTTTTAGCTTTTAAAGTCATACTGCTTTTTAAGGACTTTCTCCCTTCTGCTCTGCACTTCAGGTTTTCTTAATCTGTTCAGAGGCATATAAAGTACCACAGCCATGACAGCACCTAAGGAAAGTTTGGCATGGGATTGCACCCTATTAAGGGCCTGAGGATTCACTCCCACTGCACTCCTTACATTATAACCATTTCTAATTTCAGTTTTCAGGTGCTTGGTTTAGTAGCAACAGACTGCAGAAAGCTGACTGATTAATGGCAGAAGACTTCTGTTCAAAACCTAATTTTCCATCAAGCTGGTTCTGATGGAAGAGATTTTCAGCGATTCCCTAAACAGCATGTACATAATTAAGAAAAAGCCCTTGTGGTTCTCATGGCTCCAGCATTTGTGAATGGTCTATAAATTGCTCTAGCCCAATAATCTTTCTATTCATTATTTCATTTCAAGTAATCCTGCAGAAAAATTAGATGTCTTGAGTGTTTATTCAGTGTACTTTCAGAGTGGCAAGCCAAAATGTCACAGGCTAGTGAAGAACAAATATCTCTAAGTTATTAAACTTGTATGTTTGCTTCTTATTGTAATCTGTTCAGTTTGCATTTTCTGTCCCTTGAAAATTTCCTTGATGACTGATATATCTGACACTCTGATTTTTTCAATGTGAGGATGTTTCATTTATTAGCCTGTGGAAAACTCATAGGTGGAGATTGGTATCTTGCTTCCATTCTTATTTTTGAGTCTGTTTTTTCATTTTTTGATGGGTGTCTGATGCACAAGCTTCCTCTGGTAATGCAGAAATAAAAAAAGCCCCAAGCTGTGTGATCTCACAGCCCACACAGCAGGGCTGTGGAGAGGACAGAGATGTAGGTCTGCTCTTTCTGTGCCAAGGCACTCCAGGCTGGCACACCTCTGCACAGCCTGTTCCATGCATGTAGTCACATCAGGCCTGCAGGGAGACTGGGAAAATGCCTCGCTCTACCTTCAGATCTTCACCAGAATATCAGTAGTTTTCTTTACCTTTGTACCTGCTACTGGCCTGTGCTTTTTAAGATTATTTTTTTGTGGGTTTTTTCCTACTCCTGTTCTTAAACAAGAGCAAGCCTTTCTGTGTTTGTCTGACATGCAGCATATTTTCAGGAGCATGACACAGACAAGAAGCATGGTTTTCAGATCATCTTGTTGCCAGTAAATTCAGGAAACTATCTCTTCGAGTATTCCTCTGTTGTTCTTCATGTAAGATCAATCCTGACTGGAGGTAAAGACCTTTGATCTGCAGAAGTGCAGACTGCACATGTTCAGCTATTTCAATCCCATCTAGAGAGAATCAGTCCATCTGTAAGCATTTCTTGTAGTATTCCCACACTTGTGCTTTTGGCCTTAGACAAAAACGAAAGATCAGGACCTTAAAATCTGAGAACCAAGAGGTACCTCTCTTGTTGTTCTGTTGTACAACTTGCAGTGATCTACTGCTGAAGAATTAGTAAAGTTAAAGCTTAGATAACATTGTTTTCCAAAGAGCTAAAATCTCTGTGGCTTCTTTTGAATTTGGTAAGAGCATCTGTGTATTCAGTGCTCCTGAAAAATCAATCCACTGATTTGGGATGTGAACCTAAATAATAAGTTGGTAGAAAGTTAACAAACTCCCACAGATACATTTGACTAAGAGACACACAGGTGTACAGGTTAGAGGGGGTAAAGAATTGGGAGGAAGTTGTGTTTAAGCCAGCCTGCACCTTCTTCTGCCTTATGTGACTCAGTTTCCTGCCTCCATAGGTTTTAGAGTTTTTTCTCTTCCCCACAGGAGCTGTTTTACAGTAGGTGATCTGTGGTACCCAGGCATCAACTCCACATCAGGATTCAGGTTTCCAAGTGCAGGGCCTCCCATGAACATGACTAATGAGACTGTTATAGGTCGTAACTCTTTTCTTCTCAAAAGTATTTACGAGTAGCATCATTTTACCTACCATTCAAGAGGGATGCTTAAAAAATACTTTGCTTTGCAGTATTTTCTTGGTCAAAAACTGCACCTCTGCCTATGATTCTCATGTCGCTTGTGTCCACAGTTGTGCATAACTGGTTGGAAGCAGAGCTGAAATGCCTGTGAATCTCTTCAATGGAAACTATATTTATGTTTGTGGGTGCTAACTTTGTAATGAATTGGAGTTTCAAGTGCTCTAATGGCAAGGGAAGGCAGTGTACACTGAACAACACTCCACGCCATCTCCCTTTCCAAGTTCACACAATCTTTAAATAAAGCAAATATTTTGCTAGTTTTTATGTAATATGTTGGTCTTCTAGTCTGTTCTTCTCATTAAAGAAACACTGTCATGGCAGGCTCTTCCTCTTCTATTTTAGCTGAATGAATAGCATCATATTCTGGGAGTTTTTTCCAGGCAAACTGTCATGCATGCCACTCTGCAAGGAGATGCAGAAGGTAGAATTTTTGTAAAGTGATTTGAGACTTGAGCAATTGATCTCCAGTGAGAGCTGTCTGCTTATTCCTACTCCTGCTAAAGGCATCAGCTGAAGATTGTTGGTCCTCCCGTTTCTGAAAACGTGTAACTGAATGAAAGACAAAGTGTTTCATATATCAAGGAAGGATATTGCTTCGGGTTTTCTTTTCTTTTTTAATAGTTACGAATACAGTGATATTGTCTTACTCAGTAATACTTATGATCTGTGGCTGCTTCCTGTCCTTGTCAGTGGCCATTACTGAATATTTCACAGTAAGTGGTGGTTCCCCTCTCTCTATTTCAGCCCCATCCTCAAAAGCGGGTGTTTGCAGCACACAATGTGCTGCCTGTTGGGCCCTATTCTTGCCTCTAGCAGAGGGTTCCTTAAAGCCCCAAAAAATGGGATTTAATAACTCTTCCAGGGTTTTTTTGCTAGACTTGTCTATGATCACTAATTCTCATCCAGATAGATTTCCAAGCCTGTTTTAATTTCAGCTCACAAATTCATCAGTTGTGATGGCCATTCATCAATGGCCACATCAGCAAAATCTCTAAAAGTGCAGTATCTTTCCTTTGTGTGTCTTGCCAGAAACAGGAAGGATTTGTCCCTTTACCTTAGAACTATGAAGAAAATTGTCTTTTCATCAATCCCTCTTCCTCTCTACAAGACATCTCCTCAGATGACTCGGTACCCAAGGATTTTCTTAGCTCTTAGCTCAAGGGATTGGCATAAAAAAATCCTTTTCCAGATTCTGGAATTAACAAGCTAGTAACCAAACTGAGGGGCTGAATAAAAATTTCATCCCTCTTAGTTTAATAGGGTTCCCTAGGAAGTGCTTCATGTGTCAGAAAGCCAACAGTTCATGAAAAGCTATCTCTCTATAAATAATCAGCTGGGAAAAATAAAGAGGATAGACAAGACTGGAATTTACAAATTTTAGGCAGGAAAAAACATAAACAGAAACAACTACCATTTGCTTCAGCTGTGCAATATAAATAAAGTGGGAAAGTTTCTTCAGGCACCATAGAACACAGATTTCCCCCATAAAATTCTTTACAAATCTTAAATAGTGAAAATCAAGGCAGGCAGGATTATTTCTCATCAGTTTCAAGCACCAGACTTTTGCTTTTATTCTGAAATAGGATAAACTTAAAGACAGATATGATCTGGGGCTAAATTAGAGCCTTCTATGTATAAAAAAGCAACACTGGAAGTTACAGATTAAAAGAAGGAAAAATCAGTCATTTTATTTAAAGGCTTCTGCCTGCTCACAGGAGGACAGGGGTCAAATCTGATTCAAGTGGTGAGTCCTCCCTGTGGACAGAGCTATGCTGTGGTCATGGTTGTAAGAGACTTGACATGAGTGGATTGTTCTTACTTTCACCAACAGAGAAGGCAGAGGCCTGGCTTGGGGATGCTTGTGTTGGATCCTGTCTGTTAAAAATTGAAAGCCCACTGAGATGTTTGGCTGTGGCTGAGGAGAGGATGGTCTAGCACAGCATTGCTGCGTCTGTGCATATGAGCTTGCCTGGTGCTGTTCTTACAGTCACTTCTCTGTGCTCTCCTAATGCCTAATTAGAAGCTGAGCAATTAGCTCAAAAAGCCTTAGCAGAGTTTCCTTTTGGAAATTGGTACCTTTGGTGTTACACAGACAAGGTGGGTCTGGCTGAGTTCCCAAGACATTGCATGTAATAGGAAAGCAGCAGGTAGTACCAGTTTAATAAGGCCCCTTGATGCCCTTATCTGCTGGATAATAAGTTTAATTGACAGTTAATGTTTTCAGCTGCATAAACATTTGTCAATTATTATTTATACTTCAGAGAAAGGTTACTCTTGATAATAGAATCTTTAACCTCAGATCTTAAGCAACTTCTTTAAAATCACAATTTGAGACAAATGGGATGCTTTAGAATTTTTTTACTGGCAACAGAATCATGTAAATTAAACCACCCTAAATATATCTATTTGAAGAGTTCTTAACTTTGCTATTTCTATTTTTAGAATGATTATGAGTTCCAAGGGAATAATCTACCTTGTAAAAATAAAATCTCAGGCACCACAGTTGCGTTGCTGCCCATCTCTGGGATCTTTGCAATGAGAGAAGTTCCTGTATGCTGTTGCACTTACAACAGCTGTTCATGGACAGTTACATCCAATGCCCATTGGTCTGGGGCCTCGTTGAGGATGTATCATCATCAGGCTTATGGGGCAGCTGTAAGTGATGGTGTTTATGATGCTGCTGCTGCTGCTTCTGCCCATTCCTATTGCCCTGGACTGTGGGGCTTGGTTGCTTAGAGACAGACTTATGAGATGACAGTGGTGTTTATCTCTTGGCTCTCAGCAAGTAAGGAGTGTTAATTTGTAGTTCATATTGTAGCTGACTTTCTCTTTGGTTTATTAAATCCAGTGTGTTCATTGCATTCTCTGAAAGCTTTCATTTAGCTGAGTTTTCCAGTTGTCTTAAAAGTATGGCACAGCAGGCATCGGATGTGAGCTCCCAGAGCAGGGCAGAGATTAATACCAAGTGTGACATTTGGAAGAGTGTCTAGGGGAATGCACTATGCCTGCATATTGCATTTCAAAAGCACTTTACCACTTACCAGCCTTTTTATTTTTCTCGAATTTCAAATTCCTATGGGAGTTAGACTGAAAGGGAAGAGTTTTTATGCTTCTCTAAAATAACTGCTTACGTCTTATTGCGTGCAAATTAACTCCCCCCCCCAACTTTTCACACCATAAATGTGCAGCAGACAGAATAAAAAAGCAGGGAACCTGACACAGTACTGAGCCATGCCCAGTGGAATTCCTCTGTCGCTGTCTCCCTTTTCTACTCCAATCCCCAAATTCCTCCAGTCTCTTCCTTCCCTTCTTGCTGTGTTTTGCCCACCCTTACCTTCTCCAGTTATCCTGACAGAGCAGCCAACATTTGCAGAGCTCCTGGCCAGCTCTCAGCAATGAGACAAATGTGCCTTTCCTGTGGGCTGGTGGATGAAGAACATTGCAGGTTATGTCGTGTGTAAAGCAGAGTCTCACAGATGTGATCTTGTGAGCTACAGTCTACTGCGTAATATGACAGGAGAAAACCAGTTGGTGTGTCATCAGGGAGGCAGCAAAGTAGCAAGGCTTATTGTGTTCTTGTTTTCACTTTCTGTTCACAATTTAAATACCCTCAAGGGATAAAATTTCCCTGCTTATAACAGTCATTTTGAATGATAATGTAATTGAAAATTTCATTTTTCCTTTGCACAGGAAGACAACAGCTGTTTTCTGCAAGGCGGAGAGGTGCGCAGAGAAATTGTAATCTCTGCCACAATTCTTTAATACTGTAAAACAGAGGCTTTAGCATCTGTCATTTACTCAGAGTGGTGCATGTTTGTGCAGCACCTAGCAGAATGATACTTGTTTTCTTGATGCTTGTCTTTTTGGTGCTATTCCAATTGAAATGTAGTAATAGAAGTCATACAGTGCAAATATATTGCAGTTCACGTAAAGGGATGTAATCAGCAGTTCATGCTTGGGTTTTTAACTGTTGCCTTCACTAGAAATGTTATTAATGCAAGCAAGGGCAGTAAAATTTTGTCCCAAAATGTCTAGCTTTGCAATGTCTGAGTACTTAGGTATGCAATACCTGGCAGGCTAACATTCTGTGTGAGACTGGAGGAGAATGAGCTCCTACCAAATGCTTCCTAAATTTCTTCTTTCTTCCCTGAGCAGAGGGGAGTTGCATTACCATGATGATACGTGCACTCTCACTGCAAATCAGCCAGGTGGAAAGAAAACAAAATGCTTTTCTCTGCATTAGCTGTCTCAAGTGCTCAACACATGTCATTGTGAGGTGCATGGGCATGTAGGGAGTTCAACTGTGACATGGGACTTGTCCTTGCCTCTCATAGAGAAAGATGCATCCCAGAAATCGTGCCATTTGGCACAGATTGTCATTTGGGAGCTCTGCTCAAGCCCAAGTAGTATCACCTCTGCTTGAGCTTTCCCATGCCATATGGACATGTCTGATGGAGAAGCAAGAAGGGGATTTTCTAGGAGTAGTGAGAGGGCTGTAGCAACTCTCAGGGAGGGCATCTGTGTTTACTTGTTTTAGCACTTCATAGCAACCACAAATATATAAAGACTCTTTCTTATTTGTGGATGATTGCAGTCACCCCAGGTGCATCCTGGCAGGTTGATAATAAAAGAGAAATAATGCAATCTATGAGAACTTCTGCATCGCCCTCTAAAAAAGGGATGGGTACCACTGATCAAAACAATGGGTAACTTTTGTCCTTCTTGTATGACTGTTCTGGATATCATTGCCTGTGGATCTTGGGAATGTGTTGACTTTTAGCTGTTAACAAGTCACAGTGGAGACTCATGGGTAGAAAGAACCTCAGGACTTCAGCAAAGCCATTGACACCATCTCCCATGGCATTCTCCTGGAGAAGTTGGCAGCCCATGGCTTGTACAGGTGCACCCTTCTCTGGGTTAAGAACTGGCTGATGGAAGGGCCCAGAGAGTGGTGGTGAATGGTGCTGCATCCAGTTGATGTCTGGTCACTAGTGGTGTCCCACAGGGATCAGTGTTGGGCCCAGTCCTGTTTATTATCTTTACTGATGATCTGGATGAGGAGATCGAGTGTGTCCTCAGTAAACACCAAGTTGTGTGGGAGTATTGATCTGCTGGAGGGCAGGAAGGCTCTGCAGGGGGATCTTGACAAGCTGGATAGATTGGCCAAGGCCAGCAGTATGAGGTTCAACAAGGCCAAGTGCCAGGTCCTACACTTTGGCCACATCAACCCCATGCAGTGCTACAGGCTGGGGGAAGAGTGTCTGGAAAGTGGCCCAGCAGAAAAGAACCTGGGAGTGCTGGTTGACAGCAGGCTGAACATGAACCAGCAGTGTGTCCAGGTGGCCAAGAAGGCCAGTGGCATCCTGGCCTGTATCAGGAACAGTGTGGCCAGCAGGACCAGGGAAGTGATTCTTCCTCTGTACTCGGCACAGGTGAGGCCACATCTTGAATCCTGTGTCCAATTCTGGGCCCCTCAATTCAGGAAGGACATTGAGGTACTGGAGCAAGTCCAGAGAAGCTCAATGAAGCTGGTGAAGGGTCTGGAGAAGAAGTCCTTTGAGGAGCAGCTGAGGGAGCTGGGGGTGTTCAGCCTGGAGAGGGGAAGACTCAGGGGAGACCTCATCACTCTCTACAACTACCTGAAAGAGATTGTGGCCAGGTGGGGGTCAGCCTGTACTCCCAGGCAGCCAGCAACAGGATGAGATTTAGGTTGGACACCAGGAAGAATTTCCTCAAAGAAGGGGTGATTAGACATTGGAATGTGCTGCCCAGGGAGCTGGTGGAATCACCGTCACTGGAGGTGTTTAAAGGAAGACTGGACATGGCATTCAGTGCCATGGTCTAGTTAACGTTGTGGTGTTCTGTCATAGGTTGGACTCAATGATCTCAGAGGTCTTTTCCAACCTAATCGATTCTGTGATTCTGTGATCACTGACTTTACAACATGGGATGTGCTCTAGCATCATCTAATCAACATCGGCTTGAACTTCAGTCACTACCACGAACATAAAGGCTATTTGTATGTCTCCAGATTAACTTAGTTCAAAAAAATTATTTGCTTTTCTCATTCTCATAGTTTTCTTGGTCCTTGTTTAGGGTGACACAATGGAGGCACACAGAGAAATTCAGCCCTGGTTCCAAGTTATCCACTGATTGACCACAGTGTGTGGTCAGTCAGATGGCTGAAAGAGGCCAAGGGCTGAACCATTTAGAGATGGGGTTTGCTGCCTTACTGAACATGGCTGCTCCAGTAGTGTCCAACACCTGAGAGCACCAGAGCAGCTCTGTATGGGTATAGGATTGGCATTCATTTTGATGGGTTTGGACTCAAGCTCCATCTGTGCAAGGAGTCATTCCTAAGACATGGGGCAAATGATTCCTGCCCAAACCAAGCAATTAATTGCCCTTTTCACAGAACTGCTGATAACAAACCGCTGTGCTTTAGCTCTCTTGTGGTCAGGTCTACAGTATAAATCTCCCAGTCCCTCATAATAGGATGGGCCTTTGTGTACTGGGTGGGAGGGGAACCACACACTCAGGGTTCCTGGGAAGGCAGTCAGACAGTAGGAGAGAGTAGGAGGCTTGTACAAATCCAGCTACAGATGTAACAGAATTTCAGCTGCTGGCATCCAGCTAAGCCCCTGCAAGGCATAGAGACAGACATCACAGCAACACCAGCTCTAGTGAAGCAGCTGCACGGATCACTGCCCACCTGAATTAGGGGGATTTCTTTCCCCAGAAAGCCAGCAGTGTCACTGCTGTTTGAAGGACATCTTATTTTACAGTCTGACTGTATGTGCATGAACACAGTTATACAGAAACTCAAACAACTACGTGACCTGCTTTTGTATAAGTGCAAATAACAATATGGCAGAACTCTTGCATTACTGAAAGTGGCCCAGGCCCAAAGCAGGATTTGGTTCTATGCTTCGGGCAATGGGGTTATGTGCTGGTACCAGATGGAGCTTTTAAATTTTCATCAGCAGGTTTATGAACAGAAGAATACCCTTTTATCCGCCCCCAGGTCTTTTACTAATAAGGTGCAAATGCTGAACTTCAATTAGCATGGAGTGGAAGTGCAGATGAAATAATATACTTTCTTACTGATGATTATCTATCATGTGAGAGTGAAATAGAGATATGAATAATGACCTGTTTCAGTTTTTTGGAGCTTTTCTGCTGGTTTTTTCCCCCCCTTTAATGCTTAGTAGTATAATTGTGTGAAAATAGCTAAAAATAATGAGCCAGATTCTCTGGTGATTAAATTCTACTACAAGCAAACAGAGGGAGATTTTTGAGCCCTGCTCATCTTTGCATTGACTTCTGTAGGTGTTGGGCCAAGCCAGGACAGGGGTGTGTGACAACTGTGTTGTTCAGTTTGCCATGGAGGTATTTTACAAAAGAATTTACAAAACTACATTTTTCCTGCTGCTGAGAGATGGCCAGAGAGGTCTAGGCTTTGCAGCAACATTGTGCTTTATCAGGGAATCTCAGTTTTCTTGAGGGGTGCAGGTGCATGGAGAGGCAAAGGGATTGATTAATTGAGTGCTGTCTTTGCCTTTAGCAGCATGTTTGCTGGCCTACAATGTGTGCTTGTGTGCTGTACGTGTGCCCCAGATGAGAAGCCTTTTCTGGACCCTGCAGGCATCCAGCTACTGTGCTTGTTCCCTGTGCTTTATGAATCATTCAGGTTTCAACAGCAGTGTCAGCTCTTTAGAGGGCGTTAAGTAAGGTTCTCTACCTTAACTGATATCTCTTAAGGAGGAAAAGGTCAGTCTTGGCACATAGTTGGAGAACATATTGGGAAATTGTCAGGAAAGCTGAGGAAAGGTGCAGCTTTCTGAGGTATAGATTGCTTGTGGGAATTTTACATCCAAGCCTTTCATGTCACAGAAACGTAGAATCATGGAATGCTAAGGGATTGGTATGGACCTTAAACACTACATAGTCCCAACCCCCTGCTATGTGCAGGGACAGCTCCCACTAGACCAGGTTGCTCAAGGCCTTATCCAGCCTGGCTTTGAACACTGCCAGAGTTGGGGCATCCAACCCTGTTGGATGTCTTACCTTAAGGAGGCTTTGCTGGAAAAGTAATCCATTGAGAGGATAGAGTCTACTGTTGGAAAATAGAGATACATAAATTTGAATAGTAACTGAAAGAAAACTGTTCTCCCAGTAATAATAATTGAGTATGTTGTGATGAATCAAACCCCAGAATAAACTCCTGAAATACTTACTGGTCTTTTCTTCAGTGATTGTGCTTCAGCAGAGGGTGTCTGCTCTATAGGCCATTCTGGCTTTAGAATAAAATACCATAGAATTGTTTCAGTTGGAAAAAACCTCTAAGATCATTGAATCCAACCATAAACCTCATAATGCCAAGCCCACCACTAAACCATGTATTCGAGTGCCACATCTACACATTGTTTAAATACCTCCAGGGATGGTGACTCAACCACTTCCCTGGGCAGCCTGTTTCAATATTTGAGAACCCTTTCCATGAAGAAATTTTTCCTAATAGCCAAACTAAGATCGTGGGAGAAAGGCAGAGCAGCATTGCAAAGGTCTCCCCTGACAACATGAAACCAAGAGGAATTTTTCTCTTACCCTGGTCGTGTAGGCTTGAGACTTGTAGCTGGAGGCAGCTGCTGCTCTTTTACAAAATGTGGCTGTGAGCAAGAAGTAGCAAGAAGACAGCACAGGGGTTTACAATTGCCACAGGACTCTTGAGTGCAAATGCCACTTGATTCAATTATCAGAGATGCATGAGGCTTCAGTTCTAGCTTAGCGTAGGCACCAAGGCTGAGAGATTATTGAGGAAAAGTGGATCTGTTCTTTGATTTTCCATTTTTATGGCATATATCATTGTTAAAAGAGGGCCACTAAGCTTTTCTTTGTACTGTATTGGAAGTGACACGTTGCAATTTAAAATTGCATAATGAGAGATGAAGTGAAATGGAAGTGAAAGATCAAAGATAGGAAGTAGGGAGAGAAAGAAAGAGACCATGTACAGTATGGCTACACAGACATCTGAATTTCATTTTAATGAATCTCTGCTCAGGAAGGGAAGGGTAGCTGTTTGTGTGCCAGGAGGGAAAGAACAGCCTTCTGCCACACACTGAGATTTTCTTTGAACATCATCTCTTACCAAAATGAAGGACTGCACTCTGCTTCGTATTTCACAGAATTAGAAAAGACCAAGCTATTTTCCGATTCCCTGCATCTTGCTTATGTAACTTGCAGATGACAAGGCTGTGCAACCTCTGGCTGAGCCCTGGAAAATTTCCTTGTCGGTGAGTCAGGTGCTTGGCAAACAGTCTGGCGCAGAGGGCTTGGAGATGACAGTGACGTTAGAGGCGTTACCTGGGTACCAGAGCCCAGTTCAGAGTCTCTTTATGAAGGCTCTTCCCACTAGAAGTGTGCTGACCATCTTGACACTTCCTACTAGAAGTGTGCTGAACCAGGCAAAGACAAGATGGCAAAGACATCTTGTCATTGCCAAGTGTCTCTGTTCTGCTGTATTTGTGTCTCTGCTGTGTGTGTTAATTATGTGCAAGTACAAAGCATCCGCCTGGGTTGCACTGAAGCAGAAGAAAGCCACAGCCCTGACTGTTATCTAGAGATGTGGGTCAGCAAGGAAGGGGGAGAAGAGCTAGGCAAGAATGAGTCCTCAGCCTTTATGTGAATTTTATCTATAAAAATTCTTTCAGAGTGTGGGGAGAACATTTAGTGCAGCAGGGCTGCAAAAGTGGGACTTCTGGGATAGCACAGGGTCCCCCTTTTCAGTCTGCATTCCAAAACTCCATGCAGTCACCGTAACAGCGTTGGTTTGGAGGCTGTAGGTCTGACTGAAAGCTAGAGGACAGGATTGCACGTTGTGCTGTAGGACTTAAGTTGAGAACTATGAAAAGGGAAGGATTAGACCCAGAGATGAGGGGAGAAAACCGAAAGAGATGCAGAACTGTTTCAGCAGCAAACCTGTGGGTCAGCTGCAGTAGATCCCAGTTACTACCTCTTTGGAAGTATGACTGAGGAGCCAGGAGGTTTGTACCACCAATTAGGTTCAGTCACTGCAGAGTGTCAAGGCTGGGACAACTGTGAGATCCCCAAATACAGTCCATCCTATATCAATCTATGCAGCAAACCTCCCTGGCAGTCCAGCCACGTTTAGAGCAATACTTAGCTCGGTGGTGCAAAGAGCCTTTTTGCCAGACTGCAGTGGGACGGGGACAGAAAGAGATTTTGCCACAGGGATGACCTGGTGACTAATGATTTTCATTGATCATATGCTTGCAGGAGAGAGCAATCTATCATCTGCAGTTCCTGCAGGCTTTTCTGCTGAAGGCTCTGAGAAAGCAAACGTGAGATGTTATCCAAAAGCAGGGCTGTGTGAGCCCACGGAACCTGGTGATGCCGCGCTCTCGTGGATGTACGAACGTGACAGTGCTGAAGACCCCAGCATCAGGAAATCTCTTGATGACTTCTACAAGATGTATTGCAAAAAACAACCAGGGAGAATGGATCCAACTTATGAGGCTGCATCACGGTGTCTGTCACAGAAGATTTCGGAGCTGGCAAACCGGAATGGAACTAAATATACATCACGTTGCCTGCAAATGGCACAGTTGGTCTTGAACAGGGACGGGTGCAAGATCTTTCCAAACCACCCCCCTTCTGCCTGTTTTTCGAAGCCAGCTGAAGGAGGAGTCTTGTTGGAAGACAGAAAGAGAACACCTGGGCTCTCAGATGACATCCTCCAATTCCTCTTGAAACAAACACAGGCAGAACATAGCCCTGATGTGTCACACGAGAAGTGAGCAAGACAGTGGTTTGTTTCTGTCATTGGAGCTTTGCTTTCACTCTAAAAAGAGGTGACTTCCTTAGAAAGACACTCTTCTCCTGGCGTCACCTTCAACACCAGACACTCCATGGAGGGGTTCACCTGGAGCAGACCTTGCCACCTTGTTCTCTGCAGGGCAGCACTGCACAAGGAGCGCTTGTGGTCCCCATGTAACTGCTTGGGATGTGTCTCTAATTGGGATGGGTGATGCAGTGTTTGTTACTGGGACATCAAACGTGATAATTTAAATCTGCCAGGCTTTTAAACTGACCTACATTTCTACCCCAGCTGAATCGTGGCCCTGCCCAAATTCAGTCCCTGTGTAGGCATGGATGTCCAAGTGCTGTTGATTAGAACAGACTGTTTGAATGAACTTGGCATGGTATGCCCCAGACCTAGAGAGGGAAGCTTAACATTTTATTCTTGGCTGATACTGTAACATGTATGCCTCCACTGGGATGCCTGTTAGCTGTATGTGTTTACCTGCAGACATATGATCCCACAGATCATGACTGCAAATGCAGGTGAGCTTTTCCAAGAGAAAAAGTGTGTATGTGCATGAGAAAGAGAAAATACAGCTGCTGAGCATGTTCCATGACAGCACTTCTGTCCTTTTTACCATCACCCCTCCAACAACCTTCAGTTCCTTTCTGTCTTTCATGATGGTGCTAATGAGATCCCTGGAGTAATGTTCCCTTTAAAATAAAACAGATCTCTCTGAGTCCAAGAAGGCTGACATCAGTCAGCAACAGAACAATGAACCCCCACACAACCACTTGAGGTCTCTCTCTTGGAGGCCTCCTTGCTCAGTGGCTTCTTTGCTGCCTTGCTCCCTCTGCCAGGCAGACAAATGTCTTTGTGCTTATTTTCCACCCACTGGCTTGTCCCCTGAAAGAGAGGATTGCTGTAGTGATGTTGCTTGCTGACTGAGGAGGTCATTCTCCAGTGTGGATGTGATCAAGGTGGCAGCATATGGGCAAAGAAAAAAGGATGGACAGTCAGGGTCTCAAAGGTCAATGTTAAGGTTCCTGGCTAATGTGGTTACTGCAGTACAGCCACACTGCTTGCACCGGTTTTAGTATTTGATCTTCAGCGTTTTAGTTTGGAGACAGCCCTTACCTTGCCAGCCCAGTTGCTGAGCCCTCTCATCAGTTCCCTTTCCACACTGGCCAGATATCAGGATGGGTTTTGGTGTTCATGCACATCAGATTCCCTGCTTCAGTTTCACACAGGGCTGCTATTCCTGCCTTGCTACCCCTGGCAGATTGGCACAGCAGCTGTGCTCTGCAGGTGTTTCCAGCAAAGGCAATGGAAATTTGGCTGTTGACTTTAATCAGAACAGGAAGAGGCCCTGCTGGCCCAGCTGGCTGCAAGTTATGGCCAAGGTCTTAGGACTTGGTGCAAAGTCTCTTTGCAAATAGATTTATACTGGAACTGCCTGGTTTAGTTTTCTGTCCTTGAATCATCAGGGAACTGATACATCTGGCTTCTTGGTGGTTCCACTTGGTGTTTTGCTTGCTTGCTTTTATGGCAGAGGTGCTGTACATGTGTTGGAGGGCACAGAAAATATTGAAGCAGACCCTCATCTGCTCCCCTGCTACTCAAGTTAATGGTGCTTGGGAAAAAAAAGAGTTGAGATGAGAGTGCAGCATCAGTTCTGTGGCAGCAAATAAATCCACAGGTGCTGGTGTGTCAGAATCCAGATGAAAGCATCCTGCAGGCAAAAACTATAGACAAAGGTGATACCAACTAGTTTGGCAGTAGATACAACTGGAAAAAGGAAACATGCTCCTGAGTGTGCTATCAGTAATTACAGTAACACTACTGGCCTCTCCCTGCCAGCTCACATTGCTGAACCACCACAGATCTGTCACAGCTACAAGGGCATTAATACTGGCAGATATAGGGAGTTATTGCTGAGGATGGACAGGGTGGAAGGAAGGTCTTCAGTGTGAATCAGATGGTGTTGCTTTTAATTTTTTGCCAGCATTTATGCTGTTCCACACAGTTAAATTAGTTGCTGTGTAAAACCCTTTAACTGCCATTTTAAGGGAAATAAACTCCTGGGAAGAGAGAGATTGAGAAATCGGAGGTCTACATCTGAATCCCTTTAGTTGCTGTATTTGGTTTAGTGATGCATTGGTCTGTGGTTTGGGTTAGCTTTGAAACCATCTAGTCTCCTATTCAGAATTTTCTTAAAAAAAGACCAAAGATGTGCAATTTCCACAAAGAAAGCTTACAGCAAAATATGAAGTTCCTATTCTTTAGGAGAGTCCTGCTGCTACTC